ATTATGATTCTAAAATAGTGGCAAATCAATACAAGACAGGGGGGATAGGAAGGGCAAAAGGAGAGGCAAGAGGACAGAAAAATCCTAGCTGCATTTTCCATCCTCCAACCTTTGCTAACTAAGCTGCTAATACTACTTAACTGGCTCAGTGATGGAACACAGCTTTTGCTTCAATATAGTGCCTCAAGAATAAACTCAGTAGGAATGTAGTTGAAAGTGGGAAAATACTTGTATATACATTGTACATAAAGATAAGGTCTTACACTGAACTCTACCCTTCTTCAGTGACAGTATTCAAACCTTTATGCCTACCAAATAGGGAAAAAAGGAAACAAGAAGAAAGTTAATCATTACTTGTATTTGAGACTTAAAATGTCAAAAGCAGCAGCATGCAAAATTTAGTCACACAATTTTTCATTCTCACTTGATCAATCAAAACACAAAATGTGATGTTCATGCAAAGGAAATACTATAGATCATGTAAAATAGTTGACTCAAGCCTGCAAAGACTTGTATAGAACTCTTCCAGAGGAGCTGCATGCAAACAAAGTGCTAAAACCTGTTGTTTCATCCAAAAATTACACCAAGAAAAGCACGTTTTGGGGAGCAACAAAGTCTGCTCATTTTTAAGACTGCACTCTAATGACAGTTAAAGCACTGCCTCTTCATTAACTCTGATTCCTCAAAGTTCTCCAAATGTCCTATTTCGCTTGCTTAGGCCCTACCTTCCTCCACTTCAATTATGGGCAATTTTTAGCAGGAGATTCTCACCCTATTTAACAATTTTCTACTAAAAAGCATATTTTATTCATAAGCTATAGCCAAATACGATAATTTGAAGAGCATACAAGTCCCCAGACACATTTTTAGTACTACTTTCATCCTTACATGCTCAAGGCAACATTTCTAGACCTTCCACAGAAATTATGATGATCTATATTATTTTATCACAGAATTCACTGTGATCTTTTTAGATCCAGTAATTACCCAATCACATACTCCCTGCAGAGCTAAACAGACATATCTTCTGAAGAAGTGGTCAGTTCACCCGCAGTACTTACAAATTCAGAAAGTTTGTTCTTTTAATATTAATGGTATTTCCTACTATGGAATCAAGGTACCACACCATAAACCAAAAAATTTTACTATTAAAAAAATCCCTTGAGATCATAAAAGAAGATTATAATGTTAAATAGGAAAGTTTCCGCATGGCATTGAACCTAGATTTAATACCATCCTAAGAAACCTCAAAATTAAATAACAAACAGTAACTTGTTTCCCCATAAATGTCTCAACCAAAAATAAGTTTGTTACCAACTTTAAAGGTCTTACTATTGCAATTTTTAAGTATTTTGGTATGCTTTGGTTTCTAATGGATCAAGACATACATATTTTCCCCTACATACATTCTTCAAAATACAGATGGAAGGGGAGTAAGAATTTACAAGCCATAACATTGTTATACAATGTACTATACAAAAACCTGTCATTTAAGTTGCAAGAAACCTAGTCATCAATAAGTGAAAAAATACCCCGCTCAAAAATCAATTATGTTGAGTCTTTTGTATAGAGAAGTAGTACACCTTTCAGGCAACTGGTATTAATGAGCAGACATGGCTATAGAATCTCCATCTGTTTTTCTGACAAAGCTGTGACTACTCCAGTCTCTCATTGAAATTCCATTAATCTGGTGCACCAAGGACCAATGCGAAAATCAAAACTCCATCTAACCCTTTATCAGCTCACAATAACCTACAAGTGAACTCTGCCTGTTAGCATACAGCAAGTTATGATTTTGCTATCAATCAGGCTGTTAGGCAATAAAAAAAAATCAAGTTAAGAACAGAGTGCCTGGCAGTGCTGTTTTGTTTTGTCTGTCTTGTTTTGGGGTTTGTTATTTTATTTGGGGGTTTTGTTGTGCTTTATCCCTCTTCCAATTTCTGTAGGGTGTCTGGACATGTAAGCCTATGCATCATTCTCCTTCGTTGTGATTTAATTGCTGCCAGCAATCAAGTCAAAGCATCACTGAAGTGTGCTTGAATTTCATTAGAAGATATAACTTATGCTACTTTCCTACAGTACCTAATAAACCATAAAGAAACCAAAACACATATGGCTTGAGGGAATAACTGGAAAATTAGGCGGCCATTTGGGAACTGAGTGAACTTTTGAACCAGAGGAACAGAGAAGAAGAAATATTAAAAGGAAAGACAGACTTAGAATGCACATGGAGACGTGGGGGTTTGACCTTTTCAGTACCTAGAAAATTACATTAGCATTATGAAAAATACATATCATGTTTAGAGTTTATAATCCATCAAAGTTTAGATACTTTGTTAGTGCCTACCATAAGGTAAAAGTCAAAAGGACAACATAACAATCAGATTTGACAAAAGGCCTTTAGGTGACCTGCGCTAATTTAGTTATCCCATACTTATTGTTAAATGGATTATCTCTCTTGTAATTAATACACCATTAGACAAAGGTCACACAAAAACTCCAGGATTTTACAGTGACTGTAATGTACACGTAATACACCAATTCTTTATCTGTTACCAAGCGGGTGTCTTCACAAATTATATTTTGACAGTAACACTGCAAAGTCAAATAGTCACAGTCAGAAGTCATACAAACCTTGCAGTCTAACTCAAGTATATAAAGGTAAATGTCTGTTTTGTAGGGGTTCTTAGCAGAGAATGTATATAAAAGTTTTACATAAAAATATGAATAGACTCAAATATATATATTAAAAACACCTCAATTTGGTTACCTACAGGTAGGCCCCTCTGTTAACGTCAAGAGCCTTGATCATACACAAATGAGGTTTTACACCTGCACAGAGCCCTGCT